TGCATTTATGTGGGGGGTTGGACTACATGACCCTTGAGGTACCTTCCAATACTATATTTTATGAAGTTTGAATAGTTATGTGAAAAGATGAAAATAAAAATCATGTACAGTGCTAACGCTCCAGGAAAGCAATGATGCGGGGGAAACGACACAATGAAAAACAATTAGTTTCTTAATAAATGTTAAAACATGAAAAAGTCTGGTTTGTGCTTAAATTGAAGATTTATTAGAGTATTGTAGAGGGAACAAAGATTATTTTGTATAATTTTTCTAAGACTAGCTTTTAAGATGGTTGAAAAAGTAGTCCTCTTGTTTGCTAAAAATGTGAACTTCTGTCTTCAGTTAAATTTTCTAGATGAAGAATTTGGCAAAAATGTTTTGTTTAGCTTGGAAAAAATAATATGCCTCCCACTATTAACTTTTTTCTTAACTTTTTAGCCTGGAAACCCAAGTAAAAAAAAGACTGCTTTCATTCAGTAAAGCATTTCCATATAAGAGTGAGACTGCTATACTAAAATCATAGAAAATTAGGGTTGGAAGGGACTTCAGGAGGACATCTAATCCAACCTTCTGCTCAAAGCAGAACCATCCCCAACTATATCATGCCAGCCAGTTCAGCATTCCTTCTTTCTCCCCCACCCACTTGTCTCTCACCTATTGTCTCCCATTCCCTCTGATGCTCACTGCTATGCATTTACAGTTTCACATACCTGTATTTTACACATTGACTTCCGTTCTACCCAGGAGAGCACAGAAACACCAGCAAACTCTCCCTATTGCCTAAAGAAGGGTGTTTGTGCCTGAAAACTTGCAAAGAACAATTTTTCCAACTATTTAGTTGGTCTAATAAAAGATGTCACATCTACCCAAAGAACCATGTCTGCTCATGCCAGCGAAAGCTTTGTGTACCTGGGTCTTAAAAGCCTCCAAGGAAGGAGATTCCACAACCTGTCTGGAAAGCCTGTTCCAGTACTTTATTGCCCTCCTACTAGGAGAGCTTTTCCTGACATGTAACCTAAACTTCCCTTGATGCAACTTGTAACCATTGCTTCTGTTATCTGCCGCCACTGAAAATAGTCTAGCTCTTGCTCCATCCTCTTTACAACCACCCTTCAGGTAACTGAAGACTGCAATTAAATCCTCCCTCAGTCTCCTGTTCTCCAGACTAAATGAGCCCAGTTCCCTCGGCCTCTCCTCAGAAGTCATGTGTCCCAGCCTTCTAACCATTTTTATTGCCCTCTGCTGGACTCTCCAACTTGTCTGCATCTTTTCTATAGTGGGCAGTGGAAAACTGGACACACTACTCTAGATGTGGTCTCACCGGTGCAGAATGGAGGGAAAGAATCACTTCCCTCAGTCTGCTGGCAGTGTTCCTACTAATGCAGCCCTCTATACCGTTAGCAACAAGGGCACGCTGTTGGGTCATATTCAGCATCTTTTCCACTATCACCCCCAGGTCCTTTTCTGTAGAGCTGGTGCTTAGCCAATCAGTCCCCAGGCTGTACCAGTGAATGGGATTGTTCCCTCCTAAGTACAGGACTTTACACTTGTCCTTCATGAGATTTCTTTTGGTCCAGTTCTCCAATTTGTCTAGGTTTCTCTGAATCCTAGCCCTACCCTCTCACATTTTTTGCTACTTGACCCAGCTTGGTAGCATCCAAAAACTTGCTGAGGGTACACTCCATCCCATCATATAGAATGTTGAAGAAGATACTGAACAAGACAGCCGAAGAACCAACCCCTGGGGCACTCCACTTGATACCAGCTGCCAGCTAGACAGTGAACCATTGATTACTTTTATTAGTAGATGTTTTGCATTGGGAATCCAGAAAAAAGATGACAAAGCTGAAATGGAAATACAAAGTGCCCAAGCGAGGGACTAACAATAGAGGGATTGGGGAGAGGAGGAGAATGTGACTAGGTTACAAGCGATACAATGTTAGCCAACTAAGCCCAGGGGAAGGGAGGGGAGGGGGTTCGCGACGCTGAGAGAGAAGGGAGATAGATGCACACAAACCCGTTACAATTGTCCGCAGTGGTAGAGGAAGTGGCTTGTAGGAAGTGTCTCAGTCCATAAAGTCCGATCGCGGGGGTCCTCTTTGGGTGGAGCGGGGTCGTCCGGGATCGTCCCTTTGAGTCTGATCTATCCAGTTTTCTATCCACTATACAGTCCATTCATCCAACCTGTACTTCCTTAGTTTTCTTGCAAGAAGGTTGTGGGAGACCTTATCAAAAGCCTTGCTGAAGCCAAGGTATATCACATCCACTGCTCTCCCTGCATACACAGAGCCATTTATTTCATCATAGAAGACAATCAGGTTGGTCAGGTATGATTTGCCCTTGGTGAATCCGTGCTGGTTGTTCCTAATCACCTTCTCCTCCAGGTGCTTAGAAATAGATTCCTTGAGGACCTGCTCCATACTGAGGTGAGGCTGATCAGTTTCCAGAATCCTTCTTCCTTTTCTTAAAAATAGGCACTATATTTGTCCTTTTCCAATCATCTGGGACCTCTCCCAGTCGCCACAATTTTTCAGAGATAATGGACAGCAACTTGGCGATCACATTGGCCAACTCCATCAGCACCCTCTGGTACATCTTGTCTGGCCCTGTGGATATGCAGCTTTTCTAAGTAGTCCCTACCCTGTTCTTTCACCATTGTCAGCTGCTCATCTCTTCCCCAAACTGTGCTGCCAGGTGCAGAAGTGTGGTAGCTGGTCTTGCTTGTGAAGACTGAAGTAAAAACAAAAGGCATCGGGTACTTTAGTCTTTTCTACATCATCTGTCACTAGGTCCCCCTCTACACATGCTGGTAAAGGCATGATGGAATCTATTGTGTGATCCATACAGTCACACCTCCTGCCATGCTGCATGTGCATAGCAGGAGGTATGATTGTGGGATTGCACATTAGATCGCATTGTGTTTTATTGCTGGTGCAGGGGGAGCCCAATCCTAGGCTAAAAGTAAGCTAGCAAGAAGCAAACCCTCATGGTTGGGAGCCCCTCAGCTGTGGAGACGCCCCATGCACTGGGCTGGGGAATTGTGGCAGCTGCAATCTCCGAGGCTTGGGAGTGTATGAAACTACAAATCCTCAAAGTTTGGGGGTGTGAGAGACTCTGCTACACGTGCAAATTAAATTGGAACCAGCTATAGAGTTAATATACATTTTTGAGGTCTGACTTCATAGTGGTTGAAGCTTTTTTTTTTTTACATGTGTAGCTAGTCTTAAGGTAATTGCTTGATTAACCAATTAATTGCACAATACCTATAATGTGTAGAGGGGGGCCTTGGTTGTCTCCCCCATTCAGTAAGGGGCCCACACTTTCCCTGAACTTCCTCTTGTTGCTAACCTACTTATAGAAACCCTTCTTGTTATCCCTTTGTCCCCTGGTAGCTGCAACTCCAATTGTGCTTTGGCCTTTCTGATTTTATCCCTGCGTGCCCAGGCAATATACTTATACTCCTCCCTAGTTGATTGTCCAAGTTCCCACTTCTTGTAAGCTTCCTTTTTGTGTTTTAGCTCATTGAAGAGTTCCTGAAGCCAGGCCACAGTGATCTTCTGCCATACTTGCTAATCTTCCTGCATATTGGGATGGTTTGTTCTTGTGCCCTTAGTAAGTTTTCTTTAAAGTACAGCCAGTATTTCTGGCCTCCCAGGGGATCCTACCCATCGGTTCCCTCAGCGAGTTGAAGTCTGCAACTAGAACCAGCTAGTTTTCAAGTTGAGTATATCTAAAAAATAATCCATACACTGCAAGGCAAGCCATGCGTGAAACTTGGTTAACTTTTCACATTTTGATAAAATGTATTATCAAATTGAAATATAGTATGTTGTTTTTCAGGCATCCTACTTGGAGAAATGGTGGACTGCTTAAATGTTGTGGTATTCTGTCTTATACAAGTTTTTTGTAGAACTATCAAGGTATTGAGGAAGAATACTGCAGGCTGTCTTTTTAGGTTAGCTTGTTCCAACTTTCCCATTTCACAGAGAATATTTTAGTGTGATTTCTGCTCCCCTTAGTTGTAATTTCTGTCTCTTGATTACCTTGACACCTGCTTCTTCTGTCTAGTACTTGGTTATCTTTTTTTTTCCCTATATCTTTGAAATTACAGGATCCCTTTTGGAAAAAATACTGTCCCTGTTTCATATAAGAAGAATGTTATATTTCCATTTGTAAATTCTGTAGCATACTGATTGTCCAAATTTACTGTATAAGTAAGGTCTGAGGGTGATGGCTTCTCACCTAAGAAGCCGTGAGTGTCTTGAGACTTGCCTAATGGAAAATCTGCTTCTGGCCCTAAGCAGTACTTGCCCAGGTTGTGAAAATGTGCAGGTTTTCACTTGGAACCATTGCAGTCTAAAAGAGGATGGAAGCCTTAGTCTGAAAAATACCCTGAAGTTACTGACCTTTGGGGCATGCTGCAAGGCTTCTCTATGCTCTGATGCTTTTAGAGAATGGGAATATAGCAAAAGATTGTATGTTTATGGAGGGGAATCAATATTTTAATTCGCTTTTTATTTTCTGTTGGAAGCTTTTTGGCAGTTGAAGGATAAGTTGCTGATTCTGTTGATTCTAATGTACTTTTAATATAGCAAAATTCATACTGATACTTAAAACTTGAGTGGAGTTCTTACAGTTCTTTCTGTAGAAACTAAAGTTATGAAAGAGTTGTTCTGAGATGGGGAACCTCAAGGCAAAAAGTTTTTGAAGGGATTAAACTAATTTTTCTTAAAAAGAAATGAACTAGAATTAAAAACAAGGTAAAAATTCCCAGATTACTTTAGCTAAAATTGTTGCCTAATGTAATTGCAACAATGTTTTCATCCCTTGGGGCAGCTGGTATTTTCCTAGGATATCCTGTTCATGTGGCTGTGGCTCAAGTTAAATTTCTAGCTGCTTTACTTATAACAGAATTTTCATGGTTCATCTAGGCCATATATGAAAAGTTAAACTATCTTATCTTTTAAAAAATGTTTTTGTTTTCCCTTCCTCTTTGCCAGCAAGGTTTTGAGATATTGAATGAAGAAGATGCTTCATTCATCCTAAAGGTTACACAAATTCTTACGGATGCTTTGGTGGAATATCGACAACAGGTTGCACCAAGAAAAGTAAATATGTTTACACACGCACATTATCTGTCTGTCTATCTAGCTATCTATCTATACATGCATTATATCGATAGATCATAGCAGGAATAGAGTGTGCAGCAGCTCCTTTAAACTTGCATGTTCCCTGCGTGCCCTTTGCCCCCCACCCCTCACTGTTGATTAGTGGAGGATCCTGCCACTCCCTTCTGATCAGCAAGCTGATACTGTGGTTTTAAACATGGTGCCATTTTTGCCTCCCCACTAGTCAGCAGCAAACAGCAGGGCTTTCCGGAGCCCATCAGCCAGTCAGTGGCAGAAGGCAAAAATGGCGTCATATTTAAAACCGAAGTTTTCTCCTCCCTGCTGAGCAGTTGAGCTGCAAGTGGGGCCCCTCTACCAACTGTGAGGGGACAGGACGGGAATCTGCAAGGTTAAAGGAGCTACAGTGCACCCCACCTCCATTGTGAATTCATTAGGTTCCTACATATACATATACATTTGTCCTGCAATAGAATTTATCTTTAGACTTGTGCACAGTGAATATTTTTCAGTTCAGAAATGGTATTTATACGTAAGTAGAATGAACAAATAGACAGTGTCCACGTTTTGACCACAGGATGATAGATTTTTTTTGTAGTGAAGATGGCGAGCCAAGTCCATAGCTCTTTCAGTACTTGTAATATTATCTCCCTTAACCTGCTGATGACTAGGGCCCTGGAAATTTTCTGATGAAAATTATGACAAAGTTGGCCTGTTTTTCAAGCCTTTTAAAAAAAACAAAACGGTATTTGGAAACTCATGCTTAGTTATCCTACTACATGTTAACATTTAAAAAACCCAATCATTCGTTCTTTTGAGAGATGCTGCTATGGTAATTCATGAAGTCATGTGGAATAAAAGATTAAGCATGGGGCTTTTGGCCAGAATACTGTTCTTCCCTGCTGCTAGCAAATGAAATGGGTATTTATGCTAACTTGCAGTTCTGTTCTAAAAGCTGAAAAATGAGAACCACAGCATGTATGTGACAAGGGGGTTTGACAATTTGAGAGAATGGTTTCTTAAAATCTCAGTGGCAGATGATTTATAATGGTTTATTGAATAATGTTAATGTTATCCCAGTAGTTTTACAAAACTTAAATGTATGTTATACTGATTCTGTCTCCCCATTTAAAGTTAAGTGCTCTGTCCAACAGCTAAGTAAGATTAAGTTATGAATTAAAAAAAAATCAGCATTTGTCCTTCAGCACGTTGCATAGCGAACAGGAAGTATCCAGACCAACAATTGTATGAGGATGCATCACGAAAAGTTCATGCTAGACTTCCTAACACCATCCTACAAATTAGATACATAAGTCCTTCAGTCTCCATTTAGAGAAGTAACAAAGAATCCTCAGAGCCTTAGAGCCTTCTGCTTCTAAAAAAAAGCAGTATTCCTTCTCTTTCAAAACTACTTATCAAACATTGTATCATAGGAAAACTCTTTATCTGTAATGGAAAGAAATGAACCCCAACGCTCGTCAGCTGGCTTTTTAGGAACATTTTATGAAAATGATGTCACTGCAGAATTCTTAAACAGTGTAAGAAACATGGATATTGAAGAACTTACTACTACTCTACACAAAATAGCTGCAACAAATCCAGCCTTCAGAGGTAATGTGTGCATGTTTACAACTTAATTTTGTTTTCATTTAGTAACTTAAAAAAATTCTCTTATTTACTTAGGAGGAGCAGAGCTATACAGGTCAGAATAAGTTGTATTAGAAAAACAAGTTGCCAAGACACTGCCTTATCTAAAAATGTTCATTTTCCACTTTTGCAAGAGTGTCCTAATATGACAGATCAAAATGTTTGTAATGCATGTTCTTCTTTGAAGATGTCATGTTCATCACCTTAATTTTTATTGCTTTACTTAGTTTTTTTTTCTAAGATCATTAATGTTTACAGGGATTTTCATACCATGAAATTTCATTTGGTTTAAGTTGAGCAGTGTCACCCTTGAAAAGACAGTAGATTGTTTTCTGAATGAGATTCTAAGGAAAAAGGATTTTTTAAGAACCTAATGTTGTCTTACTTGAACATTCTTGGTAATCTACTCCAAGCCAGAAAAATAAGTATTTTCATCTGTGAGTTCCTGATAAGTCTCAGTTACTGAATCCACCCACATTTTTGTATCAAAATCCATTGCTGCCTTCCTATAATAGGCAGCCTGTCGTAGGGCTTGGAATTGAGAATACACACAGTTTCTAGATGCACCTAGAAATAAAGCAGCATTCTGGTCACTAAAGACCATCTGAGAGAATTCTAATAAAATACATTTGAAAATTTGTTTCACTTAAGCATGCTGTTCAGAAGTATTTGTTACAATGTCCAAATGTTTTAGCGTGTATGTATATTTTAAAAATGTTACCAACAAGTCACCCATCTTTCTTTCTTTTTTCTTTTTAATTTTTTAATAAAGGAATTGACATTCCAAATATGATAAGGATCCTGACTGAAAGTGGGAATCTTAGAGTACTGGACTGTTAGAGCACAGTGAGCAATGGCAGTAAGCAGCGATATTAAAAAAAAAAAAAAAAATGATTGGTTTGGAATTACTATATTAACATAAACTGAAGATTTGTCTTTTACTTTAAGAAACTTATACGAATAAAATTCAGTGCATCTACATTTTGTACAATTACTTTTCAGAACTACAGATTAGTAGTTTAATTTGACAGATTTATGTTGATATCCAAATAAGTTGACGTTCTGTATGTTTTAGAAAGAGAATGTAACACTGAAATGTTCTCTTTCCCTTTTGTACAAACATTTTTATCACTTTTGAAAACTGGCATAGCTATATCTAGGCCAGATGTCTTTGGATCATATGCTAGAGGTATAACATTTTCTTTTAACTGTTCATTTAAATGTGAATTAATGGAAGACTGTTTTTAGGGCCATCAGTCCAGCATTTTTAAGTCATAAATCATATTTGTGACTAAAATATCAGTACTGTAACATTTTTATTTCAAGTTTGTATATAAAAATCTATACATCATATAGATAGACTTTTTGCCTCAAGACATTTTTTATGAGAGAATGTAAATAAAGATCTCTGTGTTACAATAAGTATTTTTAAATAGTTTGTATTTGGTGGTATTTAAAATTTTGGGTAGTGCCCCCATGCTCTTTTTGGACTCAAAGGTCATGTCATAGAAGGAACACAGCCACAAAGGTGGTTAGGTATTAAAAAAGCTTAACCTATGGTATTGTAGAAGTAGATGAAAGCCATGAAATGATTAATATTTGGGTAAATAAAATACAGAACATTGTTTACACTTCTTCTAAAGAGATTCCAGTTTCTAGAACATACAAAATAGCTCTCACCACATTTGGAGAGCATCTAGTCAACTTCATTCTACAGCTAGTCAAGTTTTTTTTTTTTTCTCCAATCTCCCTAGTATACGAGGCTGGACATAGAGCAGAGTAGAGTCAATATGCATGTAAGTAGTATGCCTCAAGTGAAATCATTTTATTTCATAGTTTTGATCTTTGGATAGACATTATTAGTAACATCCATGAAAATACATATGGTCACTGTTAGATAAGTGTTGCTATAGCCATGAAAGTCCAAGGAACATGTAAGATGCAGGATTTGTTTGCTAGTAACTCTTTATTGAACCAGCTATATAGTTGGGACAATCTAAAACAAGTTTTCAGAAACAAAATGCCTTCCCTCAGGTCTGGAAACAAAACAGAGCATGAGAATATATAGGTAAACATTTGTAGCTCTCCAACTACCTTTAAAGTGCTCTAAAAAGTGAGAGTGCAGATGATGCACAGCAGTGAAGTGTTACAAATCAGCCCAAACCTTATGAATAATAATACTAGATAAAACACTTCAGCATGAAGTGCTTCATGGTACTTTTCTATCCTCCAACAGAGCTAGAATATCCATACATCCAAGTTTGGCCAGGACACCCCAGGATTCCATTGCCTGATCCCAGCCAGTTGATCAGAAATCCCATGCGGGAGCAAGGACATGCCACGTGTGGGCAGAGTTGCACTCAATCCAGTCTGTCCACCTTGTTCCTACATAGGAGCAGTGGTGCTTGCCCAGCTGCCTCCCTGCTGGACTCCAGCCCAGGATTTTTGATCAATCAACAGGGAGCAGGCTACTGAATCCGGGAGTGTCCTGGCCAAACCAAGATATCTGGTCACCCTAAATAGAGGGGAACAGTACTGTGCTTCCCACTTCTCCCATGTCACTGAGGTAGCTATTCAATGACTTAGTGATCACCAGGCCCCTGGCCCTCATCTGGCTGCCACCTTGCACACCCTGCCTATTCCAGGCTCAGCAACAGCTCAAACCTTAAGCCTGCCCCTGGCAGGGCTCAAGGCTATTGTATGCCCCACAGGCACTAATGGGACCTTCTTATTCCTCCCCTTCAGTCCCCACCCAAACCACTGGTATAACTGTAAAATAAACATAAACCTCTGGGCTGTAACATAAACAACAACAGTGGAAGCAGCCCTCTGCCCCTCTATGAGGGCAAATCTTCCTTCACCCCTCTGCTGGCATACCTCCCAGCCTGGGCTCCTTGTGAGCTCCCTGAGCCTCCGTGTTCCTGCAGATAATTGATCATCCCTGGGCAGGAGCTCCTAACACTGCAACTGGCAGAGCTACACTAGCTTGCCAGCCCAAGACTAAGGTTTATATGCTCTCAGGGCACTGCCTATTTCTGGTCTGCAGACTGCTTGTAGGTGCCTGCTAATTGACTTGTTAGCACTGTTGTCCCAGCAATCAGCAGCTGCTGCCCCCTGCAGAGCTCCCTGGCTGGACTGCTTTTCCTTTAAAGGAACAGAGAGTCCCAGGCTCTTTTACAAACATGTTCTACTCTTTGCCCATGATGCCATCTTTGAGCCAAAGGATTTTGTTGGTTTGTTCGTATTTGCTGGTGTCAATGAGTGAAATTAGAGAACATGCTCTGAATAGTGGAAATGTGCTATGCTTCTTTGGGAGTCCAAAATGAACCCCACAGATTTCCTTCTCTTCCCGCACCATTTTTTTCTTGAAACCATTACATTATCTCACAGGTAACCAAAAGGGAAAAGCAGTGGAGCAGGTCCTCTCTCTTATTTGACCCATTCCCGCTTCTTTAAAAATGGGAAGTGGCAATAGACTGGAGATCATTAGTAGTCAATAGACTGGCAGAAGCTGGTGGTTAATCCATTCAGCCACTTAGTCCTCTTTGCTGCACTTTCAGATGTTCTAGGGAAAGCTTGTGGCCTATTGCCTGAATAGGTGGATGTGGGAGGTGTGCAGTTTAACTGCACAGTAGACTAATTTACTGTGCAGTAAGCACCTGCATGTGTAGGTGGTGACACTTCACTGCACGTCAGTTAGTCTACTGCGTGGTAAATTGGCTTATGCAGATGCATCCACTGGGTGCATCTACACATGCTATTAATATGTATTGGACTTACTGCGCAGTAAATTACTGCATAGTAAGCTAGCCCAGGGAACGCATCTACACATATATCCTATTGAGAACAGATTTATTCCTTAAGTAGATCCAGGGCTGCTCCTGCCCTGTTCGGACCTCCTGCAGCAGCCAGGGGGAACTGCAGCCTCTGACCACTGCTGGCCAGGTGCCAGGGGGCTCTGGGGAGAGAGGGGCTCAGCCTGGCAGGAGATGCTGTTCTGGGAACCTGTGGCAAGTGCACTGTGGATGTCCCCCACTCCTCCCCCTGCTCCCCCCACCAGTCGTGGACAAGGTACTGTGTCTGAGAGGCACCTGCAGAGTACCTCCTCCCCCATCCCACACAGTAGGACCCCTGGGCTGCTGCCAGTGGACTCTAGGCCCACAGCTTACCCATACAACTACAGGCATTCTAGACAGTTTACATTCAACAAGCTTTATTTCCTTCCAAAACAGCACACTCCCTCCTGCCCCCCCAACCCCAATTCCCACCACCAATAAAACACCTTCTTCCCCATTCTGCTGTTTACAGCAGTGCACTCGGTATTGGTGGGCTGGCAGCGCCTATGGTGCACAGCCTGGGGAGAAGTGTCCAGCACCCTAGCCTCTGGTGGAACCACTGTGGGTGCAGACACTGCGGTGAGGCTGGCAGTCCAAAGGCTTAACCAGGGGTCAGGGCAGGCACTGGCCAGCCTGTTCTCCCTCTTGCTCCACAGGTCCAGGCCCAGGCCCAGCAGAGGTCTTCTCCTGCTCAGGGGCTACATGGCAGGCAGAGGACTGGGGGAGAAGGGGGCAGGGCGCCAGCCCAGACAGGTGGCCCAGATGCCAGGAACCTGGCTCAGAAGCAGCTGCTGCAGGGCCTCCTCCTAGGCCCACTGCCCTGAGGCTAGGCCTGGGGCTGGTGGCTGGGCACCTGGTGGCTGCCAGGTGGCAAGCGGGGCTGGGGCTGGCAGCAGGCAGCATGGAAGAGGGTGTCAGGGCCAGGATGCTGTTGAGCACCTGGTAGTCTTCTTCTGCGGCCCCCACTGCCGGAGCTGCCATGGAGGCCTGCTGCTCCTGGGTTGTCACCATCCTCTTGAGGAGGGTAATGTGCCGGTCCTTAAGTTCTAGGAGCTAGGCACAGTATGCCCCCTCCTTCCAGCCCCTCTCTTGCTCATGGGCTGCCTGCTCCTGCTTGCATGTCTCCCTCTGTCGCTCGTGTGAGTCCCTTTCCCACTCGCACACTTCTGCTGCTTCACACCAGGTGCCCAAATCAGCCAGCTGCTCCTCTGCAATGGTGACCAACCAGTCAAGGGGCTCCTGGCTGGCTGGGACATGGAGCTGCTCTGTCCTGCCATGAGCTCCTGAATTGGCTCTCTCAATTTATCTTTGGCCTGCCTGATGTATTCTGGTTTCTCAGGCTCCATCAAGCACTAACTCAACAGTCACTGCTGATGTTCTTTGCTGGGCTAAGGAGCTGTCCTTCTGGACATGCTCCAAGATCCATTAGTGGGAGCACCAAGTGCCCCCCCTCCCCCACAGTGTAACACATGCTGTAGAAGGTCCCTAGTCATAATCGGCACCAGAGAGGATCCTCCAGGCTCTCCCAATGGCAGCTGCATGGTGGCTTTCCAGTGGAAGGGAGTGTGGGGCAAAGGGAGGGTTCCTGTTTCCCCATGGGAGAAGCCTGATGAGGAGACAGGCTCCTTGAAGGAGGGGGAAGGGAAGGCAGGAGGATTGTGCTGGAGAGGATTGGGACAGGGGTAAGGAAGACAAATGTATGCCCTACAGAGTTTCTCTTCTCAATAGCCTCTTCAGTATTGCCCTAATGTACAAAGAAGATAGCCTTTTCAAACAGCTTTGGGGGCTCCCCCATGGGCAAGTCCCAGCCCCCAACTCCAGAGCTTTGCACATAGGTCTGAATGTGGAGTGTGATGGCCACTAGGAGGCAGCAAATGCTCTGCATCTTGGACTGGGGAGCCCTACTCATAGGAGATGACAAGGCAGGCAGAGATGCCGTTAGAAGCAGTGGGCAGACAGGCATGGCAGGAGATGACATTGGTGCAGAAACTGGGACCATAGGCACTGGGGTGTAGGTGTCTGATGCTGGAGGACTGCACCTCAGAACAGGTGGAGGGGAGGGCAGGGGCCATAGTGATGGTGTGGTGTGTGAAGAATGGTTTAGATAGAGCTACTCCTACCAAGGGGCCAGGGGTGGACTAGTTGAACTCTCATGGTTTTTCCTAAGCCTGTTTCCTAACACTCCCTGCTTAACCCTGTATCATGGGAAGGTCTGTGGCCATGGCCTTGTCGGTACACTAGCAACAGTATGGCCCATCTCCAAAGGGCTGACATCCCACCCACCTGACTCCCTGGGCAGACTCCAAAATGGAAATGCATCAGTGTGGCTTCTCTAGGCTTGTCCCATGCTAGAGCCCTTGTCTCTGCAGAGCCAGAGAGCAGCCACTGGGGACCAGTTCAGAGCAATCTTGTTGAAGCACCTCTGGGTTGTGGAGCACATCAGCAGAGTCAGGAGGTGTGCTCAGGCCCCACCAA